TTAAACTATTGACGCGCAGTCATACACTTCGTGTAACTTGCTTGGAGGAAGAAAAACGGGCACAATTCTGAGGAGGCGAAAGTATGAGTCCGTGGTCTCTGTTGAGGAATAAGTATTGAGCCTACACTAGCATTCTAATTCCATAGTTAGTGAAGAAACATTGAGATGGGCCAACTTATAAGACTGGTTCCCGTTCTCTTCAAGGAGGGCCATGAGACACTGCAAGATCTGCATGACTGCAGAGGTCTTTGTTGTCATCATTCTTGGACGGCTTTAGAGTATGCCTGACTCCAGAACGGGGCCTTAGCAAACCTGGTTTCGACACATATTCACGCCGCAACGCATCCCATAATTCCGCTAAAACTACCAGCAGACAAACCGCATTCGGCTTCTACGACTGCTGCAGCAATAAATTCAACTCAGAGAGTGATGGTGGTACTCACTGTCTTGATCAAGGTCTATCACTGCTGAACCACCGTGACAGTCATTGTCATGCATCATTCTATAAGTTTCAACATCGCCCTGAGCGCCTACATCGCCAACCCCAGACAAGTCATCATATAAGCAGACCGCAAGTCTTTATATACTTCTTAGTGCTCAATTGGGCACATGAAGAATGAAAACCAGTAAGAAAATAATGGGGCAAATTTGAAAATATTAATGCTTTGACCGATGCCCGCCAGCATTTCGAAGCGCGATCATCAGCATTTCGATCTCAGCCTTCGTCTGTCTTTACTTACAGCTTCAATAATCATGGCAATAAGTAACAGTGCTAAATAATAGCGTTTATGTTGTATATGGATATCATTACGGTGTTCCGGGACGTACCTGTTGGTAGAGGTTCATTAGTGCACTGCACAGACGATCGTGCGATAAGGAAGTCTCCTGACATTCTTCGAAAATCGCGATCATTGGGGAGCTATCCATTTCTATAGCTTGTATACTTCAAGACCTGACCAAAAAACGAAACCTATTAGCAAAGGAATTGTAGGTTAACTTTTAAATTCATCTTTATCTAGTATATCTACTGGTAAGCGTTTGAAGCAAATATTGCCACTTGATCATAACCATAAGGTAATGGCTGCAGAGTTATAAAGCAGATTCATAAAATTAAAATTAAATTAGTGATCACAATCCCCTTATTTGGATTATACTGCGAGTGTCATTGAGTCTGCTTTCTTATTTCCCTTGACCTCGACGATGAAATTGACTAAATATTTCTGGCTTTAAGTCTTTTCGTCACTTTTCGATAGTGTTCTTATAAGCAAAATTTACTTCAACAGCGAAATCGACGTTCAAATTTGCAAGAGAAAAGGCAAGCAACCTATTGTCAGAGTCCGATCAAAATACGCGTAATGCATCAATAAGCGGCAAAGTATGTAAAGGATGCAGTTCCTATGCAATAAAATTACCAATAGTCCTTAGTGGTACTATTTTCTCTTGCTCCTATCCAAATAATGAGGTGCCGCAATTATATCAACGGTGTTGACTATTGGCGCAATATTTACTCGAAAATTTGGCTAGCTGATCATCTCGCTGGTCATTACTTACATTAACATACTACTCCGACTAAACATAACTCCGGCAGTGAAGAGCTCACATGTTTTTTTACCATTCACAATAATCTAGGTAACTATGAACTTTGAGACAAAAGAAGATATCCAATGTGGCCAGTAGCCCATTCTTTTTCTCTCTGCACGATAAAGTATGTCTGGTGAAACGGCATTAAGATATTTTTGAACGTCAGCACCTGACAATGCTAGATAAAAACTTGGCTACCATCGTCAATCGCGAACAGAATTTCGGTTTGTGGTATGTGATACGAGCGATCGCAACTGGGGGAGGGGGAAGGCAACAAATACTGCAACCCATGTGCATATATTACTCTTGACTAATGCTGCCTCTGACCACGGGGTGCTGTGTGAATCTGAAAAGCCGGACGAATAAAATTCTAGTGCACATGTGGCTAGCTTGGTTCGTTACAAAGGAAACTCGATATTTACCTCAGTCTCGTTCTATACTTACCACTGTGCCCATCGGCAACACAAATCTAGTGTCAGTAGGCATGGGGCACTACTACGTGCGCTATGCATAATGTCCAAGCCCGACAAAGCAGCCATAAAAATATCCAACCCCCTGACTGGGACGCCAGCAGCAGCTTGAGGCGCTGATTCATCAGCAGCCGAGGGCGAACGCAGAGGCAACTACAAGTTTACGACGGAATCCCGCTACACAGCCCCTGTGATCAGCGGCTGACTTTTGCCGGCTGAATAATTTGCTGTTGGAGGACGAGTTTCAAAAGGAGCTTGTAAGCTGCACATTTGGTGATTAATAATTGCATTAGATCTCATACCTCAGTTGTCTAGGCAGCAAAATAAATGAAGACTATGT